ATATATATAGTAATAAAAAATATATTAAAAATAAATATTAATGTTATTGATTACAAAAAAAAAATATATATATATAGTAATAAAAAATATATTAAAAAATTATATACAGGGTGGGTCAGCACATTTTACCATTTAGATTTACGTTATTATTATTATTACGCGTAGCAGACAATGTTTCACATGTAGTTGAATGGCTTTGAAAAGGGGTTCATACTGATGCTACTTTTTTGGTGTACGTGTAAAGGACATATGAAGGTCATTAATGTTTTTTTTAAACGGAATAATCATATATTTTTTATTAAAATAAAAAAGGTTCAATGTGGCGACGATCATTTGCATCAGAACACTTTCTGAATTGAGAAATTAATCACTCATTAACATTTTTTAATGTATCTGATGTTATTTTCTTGCATTCATTGACGATACGATCCCTCATATCGGCCATTTTAGTCGGAGGCTCAGTGTAAACTTTATTTTTTAAGTAGCCCTTATAAGAAAAAGTCAAAGGGACGTTAGATCTGGTGATCTAGTCGGAAAATGAATGGGCCCATCCCATCCTATCCAACAATTTGAGAAGTGTTAGCCGCATTTACGATAAATACATCCGGTTAGCTATCGCAAAATCAAAAGACAAGTTGGAATTAGCCGCAAAACCATTTTACGCATACTGATAAAGCACAAATATCATTCATATGATGCTTTAAAAGTTCAAGAACTGACCGCAAATGATTGTTATCAACGTTTAGAATTTTTTAATTGGGCTCTCACTCAAAGAGACAACTTTTACAACAATGTTATGTTCACGGACGAAGCAACCAACGTTTACGAAAAATGGATCAATCAATTTAAGAAATGCTCCTTATTGGTCAACGGAAAATCCTCATTGGTTTAGACAAATGGACAATCAACATTGAAGGAATGTAAATGTTTGGATGGGCATACTCGGTGATAAACTTATTATTGGTCTCATACTTTATCGAAGGATCACTTACCGGACCAGAATATGCAAATTTTGTATCAAACACTTCTATGGATATTTTTAGACGATTTACCATTGCATACACGACAAATAATGGGGATACAACAGGATGGTTGCCCTGCTCATTATTCAAGAACAGCAAGGGATACATTAAAACAAATGTTCCCAAATTTTTGGATAGGACGGGATGGGCCTATTCATTTTCCGGCTAGATCACCAGATCTAATGTCCCTCGATTTTTTCTTATGGGGTTACTTAAAAAATAAAGTTTACGTTGAGTCTCCTATGTGCCTCCTACAATGGCCGATATGAGGGATCGTATTGTCAATGAATGCAAGAAAATAACATCAAATACATTGAGAAACGTTAATGAGTCATTAATTTATCGATTCAGAAAGTGTTCTGATGCAAATGGTCGTCCCCACATTGAACCTTTTTTTTAAGTAATATAAAAGAGCATCAGATGATGAAATAACAAATATATGATTCCGTTTAAAAAAACATTAATGATCTTCATATGTCCTTTACAAGTTCACCAAAAAAGTACCATCAGTATGAAACCCTTTTCAAAGCCATTCAACTACATGTGAAACATTGTCTGCTACGCGTAATAATAATAACGTAAATTTAGATGGTAAAATGTGATGACCCACCCTGTATATTATAAATAAATACTAATGTTATTAATTACAAAAAAAAATATAAAGTAATAAAAAATCTATTAAAAAATTATATATTAGAAATGAATACTAATGTTATTGATTACAAAAAAAAATATATTTATATATATATATATATATGTGTATATATTTAAAAAAAAAATTATAATAATATATTATAATTATTATTATATAACAATTATAATTATTAAAATATATATATTAATAAAATATAAATTATTATTATATAAAACATAATTATTATTATATAGCAATTATAATTATTAAAATATATATATTAATAAAAAATATAAAAAAAAATATAAATCTAATAAAAAAAATTATATATAAAAAATAAATATTAATGTTATTGATTAAAAAAAACGAAACTACAAAAATAGAATATTTTAAAATATAATTAAATATATATATATATATAAATATAAAATATAAAATGTGTACTTTATAAATTTTTAATTCAACATTTAATTTCATTAATATACCTAATAGATTAATAAAAAGATAAGAAAGAAAAAAAAAAGAAAAAATAAAAAAAAAATAAAACACCGACAAAATGAGACACAGAGAGAATTTTTCAATGATTCAATTTTTTGTAGACAATTTTTTTACTTTAAGTAGAAAAATAACTCCGACTATTCTATTTTTATTTTCTAGTTACGGAACACAGGATTTATAATGTACTTTTTTATTTTTCTATTTTTTTTTTTTTTTTATTCTTCTAATGGTTCCAATAGAATGATTTTGTCTACAATGTTTTCACTCGAAACATCCTCGTTGTCTCTTTCCGTAATAGAAGACGACGAATGATTTCACATAAAGATTTGAAAAGACTTTCTAAACTTTTCACTTCTACTACTTTGTCCTAAGTAGGATCAAAAGGATAAAAAGTTTAGAATAAAATAAAAAAAAAAAGAAGAATTTTAAATGTTAATCACAATGATATTATAAAACATTGAACCAATCCTTTTTTTTTCTTTTTCTTTTTTTTTTTTTCTTGTATCCAATCTTTCTATTATATATTTTATGAGTATTTGCGTAATATTTTGTTGTTGGATGTTGTGGTTCGTTAAAACGTTTCAATTAAAACATTCATTTGACTTTCCCTATACCCACATACACATACACATACACATACATACATACACACATCTATATGATAATAAGATTTTAGTGAAAATACTTTAAACATGTAACTAAGATAAAAAAAAAAGAAAAAAAAAAAAAAGAAAAAAAAAGGAAAACCCGTAAAACATTGGTGAGAGACACCACCGGTTATTGCGTATAAAAGTTAAATGTCCATGAGACAAGTTGGAATGGTAAATAAATGTTATTTGTTCTAACCATTAGAGTACTTATACCTGTACATATATATTTATATATGTGTGTGAGTGTACTCAATGTATATTATTTTTTTTCAATAAATCAAAGTCCAAGTAATGTTAAGTAACCAATTGTACAGAATATTTCAACAAGTTCTTGGAAATAATTTTGAAATGAACTTTTTATTTTCTTCTCTCTCTCTCTCTCTCTCTCTCTCTCTCTCTCTCTCTCTCTCTCTCTCTCTCTTTGGAATGGTGGCATCTTGCTCGTTGTCGTTTAGTTTTTTTTTTTTGGTTTATACAAGATAATGTATGTGTTAGTTTTTTTTTTTTTTCTAAAACTCTTTTAATTAGACGTTTGTTTCGTTCCTTTCGATATCGATCCACTTTTCTGCCCTGTGTGTTTTTTTTTCTACTTTTCTTTTTTTTGCCATCACCCTTCACCCCCAAACACCCCCTCGTTACATGTTGGAAACGGTCAAGGTGCGTGTGTGTTTGTTTCCCTTTTCGTGACGTATCCGGCGCCCGAATGACGCGATGGTGTTGTTGTATGATGGTTAAAAGAAACAAGAAAATAAGAAAATATATTTAAAAAGGAAAAAAAAAAAAAAAAATATAGGGTGAAAGTTCGTGGAATTTATTATTGTATTTTAAATTATTATCTCTTTTATCAACTGTATAATTAATTCTTATTGTTAAATTGATATTGATAATTATTCAAATATGCACGAACTTTTGATTAACCCTAATAATAATAATAATAATAATCAAATGAAAAAGAACGTGTTCGAATGATAAACAAAATTTTTCTTCTGAGTAAAAAAAAATCGATAAGGTATAATAAATATTGATAATATTTGATATGTCTGTCTGTCCGTGAATGTGTGTGTGTGTGTGTGTGTGTGTGTGTGTATGTGTGAGAATTAAGTTGAGTTTTAAATTCAATTTCGCGAACTGTACAATGAACTAGTTTACATTTTTGAATGTATGTATAGTGAATGCTAATTAATAATACTTAATCGAATCGCATTACATTTTATAAAAAATAGTCTCCTTCCTTTTCTGTCTCTTTCTTTCTTTCGTTCTTTCTTTCTCTTTCTCTCTCTCACTCTCTTTTAATGTTAAGAGATTAATTAGTATTACCAAGAGAAATAAAATACACCATAGAGCACTTCGTATGGAGGTTAAATTCCTACTCGTTCTCGTTTCGCATGACTTTTACTTTCTCCGTATAGTATTAGATAACAATAAATTATGTTAGTAGCTACGTGAAGTAATATTTTTCGAGATGCAAAGTGCGTTTTACTTAAGTAAAAACGAATAAACAAATAAGCGGGAAAATTCAAATAACGCGAGTCTACATTTTTTTTTTCTTTTTTCTTTTTTCATTTCATTTCATTTGATTTATCAAATCAAATTTATCAAAACGTAATTTAATTCTATTTATTGTTACTTAAATGCATTGTATGAGTTTTAAAGAGACCCCATTTTATTTTGAGAGTCGTTGTTAATAATTAATACGATAATACACAGGTGTATTATAAGCGTATTTGTTAATAATAAATAATTAATAAAGTTACTAAAGGATTCATGTGTTTAACACTAAATTTAGGACTTAATTTGACTCATTTTTAATTCTTTTACTACATATATATATTAAATATTATTTTTTGTTTAATATATGTTGATATTTAATGCAGTTGTACAGGTGTATATAAATGCATTTGTTAATAATAAATAATATTAAATTTACGGACTGAATTTGACTCATTTCAAATTTGTGTACTACGTATATATATACAAATCCTAAATGAATTCTTTTCCTTTACTCAATTTTTTATTCAAACGATGATGATTTTAAATCATTAAAAAATAATAAATAAAACATTCATAAATAATACTAAATTTAGGA